CGTCCCAAGAGCGTTTGACGCTCGTTTTACACGGTAATGTATTGTTAAACGATGTCTACATCCGTGCAATAATTGCTTCACACGGGAAATTCCATGCAAAACGCTGTGGCCCGAAACAACGAAAACCGAAACAACCTTCAAAACTTTTCAACAAATAAATGAATTTTGCCTCTTTGGGCCTTCTTGGGGGCTCTTTGGGGTTGTTTTGGGACTCTCTTGGACCGTTTTGGGGCCCTGTCGGGCCGTCTTGGGGCGTCTTGGAGGCCTTCGGTCGCCATCGGACTGTCTTGGGGGCCTCTTGGGGCTCTCTTGGGAGCCTCTTCGGGTGCTCCTGAGGCTCTCTTGGGGCCGTCGTGGGGCTCCCTTGGTAGTTTTCGGGCCCTCTTGGGCCGTCTAGGGGCCCTCTTGGGCTGTTTTCGAGCCTTTTGGGGGGCCTCTGGGGCCGTGTTGGGACGATCTTTGGAGCCTCTTGAGCCGTCTTGGGCCGTTCTTGTCCCGGAAAAGCGAAAACCGAAAAAGCCTTCAACAACCATTTAAAAATCCATGACTTTTGCCTCATCGGGCCCTCTTGGGAAGCCTCTTAGAGGCCTCTTGGGGCGTTTGGAAGCCATGTTGAAGGTTTTGGTGTGCTTTGGAACTGTCGACGAGCTTTCTTGGGTAATATTGGGGGCCTCTTTTGACCTTCCGAGAAGGCCAGAAGGCCGAAGGAACCGTTTGCAAGGGCGTGGGAGCAGACCGGGGCTTCAAGCAGCCTGGGGAGTCCGAAATTCGTTCGGTGGGGGGGGGGGGGGCGCTTTTTCCAGGGTCCCCAGCCCAAGAACAACATAGACATAGGAATATATATATATATATATATATATATATACATATATACACATACATACATACATATGCACATACATACAGACATACATATCACGGGGGACCGGGCCCGGGGGCCGGGGGCCACGACCTCTACCACAAATGGCTGTGTGCAGGCACTTGGGGGGCCCCAGAGGCCCACATAACGCCACCAGAAAGCGCCAAGAGAGCCCGAAGACGCGCCAAGAGGGACCCGCGACGCCCACAGGCCGCTCCAAGACGCACAGGCCGCTCCGAGACGCACAAGATGGCCCCCAAGACACCCCAAGAGGCCTCCCAGACGCCTCCTGCGACGCTCCCAGAGGCCCCCCAGGAGGGCCCCAAGAGGCAAAGTTCGCTCCATTCCCTTTGGGAAACCTTTATTTTTTCGGCAATGTACCCCTTTGGCCTTCGCAGTGTCCAAGACGGCACAGGCTCCCCAGAGGGCCCCAAGACGACCCCAAGAGGGTCCCAAGACTGCCTCCAAGACAGCCCAAGAGAGCCCCAGGACGAGCCCCACAGGGGTCCCAGAGGTGCAAAACCAGATTCAAATTCCGAGCTTTCGGCCCCAGAGGCTCCCAGGAGGCCCCAAGAGGTCCCCAGGAGGCCTCACTAGGCCCCCAAGGGGCACCAAGAGGGCCATAGAGGCAAACATAGCCCCATTCCCTGCGTAAAACGTACATTTTTACCGTATTCGTGTTTTTCGCCTTCGTCTTCGCACTATCCTTGACGACCTCAGGGGCCCCTAAGATCGCCTGCACGGCCCAAGAGGCTCCCCAGAGGGCGCCACGACGGCCCAACAGGGTCCCTGGCCGGTCCCAGAGGCTCCCAGGACGGCCCCAACGGCTTCCAGAAGGCTCCAAGAGGAGCCCAAGATGTGGCAGTCCAATTGGAATTGCGAGGCCCACGCCCCAAGAGGATCCCCGAGACCCCCAAGAGGCCCCTAAGGCCTCTAAGACGCCTCATAACCCGTGCAATTTGACCCCCCAGAGGGCCCCGAGAGGCCCCATTCCTTGCATAAAGCGTACATGTTTACCACATTCGTGTTTTCGTCTTCGTACCATCCTTGGCAGCCTCGGGGGCCCCTACGATCGCCCCAACACGGCCCAAGACGGCCCAAGAGGGTCCCAAGACAGTCCCAGAGGCAGCGGATATGGCCCGAACGGCCTCCCAAATGGCACCAAGAGGAGCCCGAGCTAGGGAAATCCAATTGGAATTGCGAGCCCCCCGCCCCAAGAGGACCCCCTGAGGCCCCCAAGAGGCCCCGAATAAGCCCAAGATGCCTTCAAGACGGCCGACGAGGATTCCAACACGCTCCAGAACGGACTCAAGAGACTCCCCAAGAGGGCCCTGGGATGCAAAATTTACAGAATTCCCAATGGTTTTCGAAGGATTTTGGCGTTCTCGCTTTTCCCGAAGTCCAGCGCTCCCTCACGGCCTCGGAGGCCCTTCAGATCGCTCCAAGACGGCCCACGAGGCCCCGAAGACGGCTCCAAGACGGCTCAGGAGTTCCCCCTGACAACCCAAGTGTGCCCCAAGACCCTCTTCCGGAGTGGGCGAGCGGGGCCCGAAGAGCGGTGACGGTGGGTGTTCCATGGCGCCGCTGTGGCTGGCAGTGCGTCTGGTGCCTTAGACCCTGCTGGGGGCGATCATTCTCACGGTGGTGGTGGTGAAGATTTGTGGCCCGACGGCCTTCTTCAGGCTGCAGAAGCCCCCCGGCTTCATCCTTCACGCGATTACAGGGGGCAAGGTGCCGCTCTACTTCGTGACCTGGGTGTGGGAGGACTAGCATCTCTCCAAGTAGCTGAAGGACGGCGATGTTATTTGCTGCGTGGGCGCCAAGTCTGGGACCACCTGGCTGATGAACATCGTGCACCAGTTCCGGACCCTGGGCGACCCCGACAATTTCCTCCAGATGAACACGCACAAGATGCCCTGGCCAGAGTGTGACCGCTATCCGGGCGAGACCAAGAGGGAGAAGATGGATCACCTGCTTGGGCTGGACGGAATGACGAACCCCTCCTACAAGTTCAACTTCGTCAAGTCGCACTACGGGCCGGGAAGGCGGGCGAACCGTGGAAGGAGGCAGCCAAGAGAGACGCGGTCGTACCTGTCAGGGAGAGGCCCGGAGTGAAGCATATCATCTGCATGCGGGAAGGCAGGGACGTGATGGCCTCTTTCGATCCGTTCTTCGCATCCCACAGCGACGAGTTCAAGAAGCTGTGGGGCGGCTTCCCGCCGACTTCCCCGGACAGGGATGCCAACTTCAAGGTCTTCACCGAGGAGCAGCCCAATCTCTACTTCGGCTACTGCGCGGCGTGTTGGCCGTACCGCAACGACCCCAATGTGTCGGGGGTGGACAGAACCCACAACAGTGACACGTCGGTTAGTGAATTGTCCGTTTTCGGTTTTCGAGAGGGCGCCGTGGCCGTTATTTTCCAGGCTTGCGCCCGCCAGGTTTGGGCCTCAGGTCGTTTTCACTAAACCACGTTTTGCTAAAGGGGAGTCTGTCCATCCCCGAAGTGTCACTGGGCTGGCTGAAGAAGAACGGGGGCATCCTCAAGCACGACATCTCCTCGAAGTACTTCACTGGCACCGTTATGAAGCCGGAGGAGGGGACCATGATCCGCAGGGGCGAGGTCGGCGATGGTCGGGGCAGGCTGACGCCAGGGCAGGAGAAGAAGTTCCAGGAGCTCGGCGACCGGTATTTCGGTGGCCTGCCGGGCCTCGCCGAGGAGGTGGCGAAGAGCGGGCCCGTCCCACCACTCGCGGAGGCCGAGGTTCGCGGCCAGGCCGGCGGCTTGAGCGCGCCGCTGCTGGGGCCCTGAGACGTGCTTCGGCATCGTCTCACTCCCAGGGGAAACACAGCTCTCCCAGTTGTGGCTACTATACATATGTATATACGTATATGTGTATATATGTATATAGATTACACATACACTTCAAGATGTTTGTACTGCATGTTCGATTCGGACGTGCGCCTTCAAGAGGTGGGCCGCACATTACGCGGCCGGCCTGGGCGAGAGCTGGATACACAGATGGCCAGATGTCTTTCCAGCGTTCGGCCGTCGCTTGGCCAAGCACGGTGGCCCTCTACATGTGCGTCCAGCGAGTGGCCTCCAGATGTTCCACATGTGATTCTAGCCATGGCCGGCTCTGGGAACCCCGAGTCTGACATGATGCCATCTCTCGGGGTCGCATCTTCTGCTTCCGCCGCCTTCCGCCGGCCCTCCGCCCGCTGCAGCTGGCCGAGGCAGCCTCGTGTTACTTCCGCCGCCTTCCGCCGACCTTCCGCCGCCCTCCGCAGATGAAGAGATGACAACCCTCTCGACCCTCGAAAGAGTTGCCATCTCTTCCTCGGCAGAGATGACAACTCTTCCGATCCTCGAAGGAGGATCCTCGATCCTCGATCCTTGGCGCCGAGAATCCTCGATTCTCGGTTCTCGATCCGCAGATTACAACTCTCACGATCCTCGAGAGCGAGGCCCTGCCTGCAACGCCCAACGTGTGTGTGTCCAGCAGGCGGCCTGAAGATGCTCAACATGTGATCCCAGCATGTCCTCCGACCGACGACGACGACGACGACGACGAGGGTGACGACGGCGACGGCGACGACGAGGGCGACGGCGACGGCGACGGCGACGGACGGACGACGACGACGACGACCGCTCCCGGTGCCCCAGCTGATAGTCTGCAGTCGTCCCCCTTCCCGCGCCTCTCCCCCAGCGTGGCGGCGAGGGGGCGGCGTGGGCCGAAGCGCCGCCGCGAGGGCGCCGAGGGGAGGGCACGGCAGCGGGGCGCCCCGAGAGACGACGACCGACGACCGACGACGGCGACGACGACGGCGACGACGACGACGGCGACGGCGACGACGACGACGACGGCGACGGCGACGACGACGACAACGACGACGGCGACGACGACGACGACGACGACGACGAGGGCGACGACGACGACGACGACGACGACGACGACGACGACGACGACGACGACGACGACGACGACGACGGCGACGACGACGACGGCAACGACGACGACGAGGGCGATGACGAGGGCGACGACGACGACGACGCCGAGGGCGACGACGAGGGCGACGGCGACGGTGACGACGACGACGCCGATTGCTCCCAGTGGCCGCCTCCGCCGGGCGGGCGCGGCAGGCTGTCCCGCGCGGCGGGCCCTGCTGGCCTGGCGCCGCCTCGCGGCTCGCCTGGCGCAGCGGCCTGGACTTGGCGGGCCTGCGCGAAGGCCACCCGCCCCCTGTGGCGACGCACGGGCGCGCCCAAGAGGTGTGGTAACAAGGGAGGAGGAGGAGGAGGAGGAGGAGGAGGACGACGAGGAGGAGGAGGCGGAGGAGGAGGAGGAGGAGGAGGAGGAAGAGGAGGAGGAGGAGGAGGGGGCATCTTGGCAGCCTCTGGGGGCACGCTTGGGGCCTCCTGGGAGCTTCCTGGGAGCCCCTTGGAGGCACCCTGGGGGCCTCCTTATCGCGTGGTGAGTCGGTGGGGGTTCGGGGTCACCACGCGGTTTTGGGACTTGAGTCTCGGGGGACCAGAAGGTACCGACTCCGCTACCCTTCGCTCGTTTTCCCCTTTTGTGGGGCCTCCTGGGCGGCCCTCGTCGCCACCGCTGGATTCACCTCGAAATTCAGGTCAGAGCGCACCCTGGGAGAGGTCCAGGGAGTAGCGGTATCGGTACATTCTGCTCTCCCCAGAGGAGGAGGAGGAGGAGGAGGAGGAGGAGGAGGAGGAGGAGGAGGAGGAGGAGGAGGAAAAGGAGGAGGAGGAGGAGGAGGAGGAGGAGGAGGAGGTCCTACCAAAAACGCGGCTTTGGGACTTGAGTCCTTCTCCGAGGACGTCCCGGGCGGCTGGGGCCTCCGAGGTCCCAGAGCAGTGCGGCGACGGGCCGCGCGGTGAGGTCGCTGGGGGAGGCCGAGGTCACCACGCCGCCTGTCAGCACACAGTCTTGGGGCCCCGAAGGCCTCGCCCTGGATGGGGTGGAGGAGGGAGGGGTATCGCAGGCCTAGAGGTTGACACCAACACCAATATCGGCGGTGTGCCTCCACCGAGGGACGAAGATCCCGATCTCGGTGATGGTGGTCATGATTCTGGCTTCCAAGGTGGCCGACACCGAAATCGAGGATCATCTTCCCCCTGTGGAGGCAACCCCCTGTGTTGGTGTTGGTGCCCATTTCCAGGCCTCCAAGGGGAGCGAGCGAGCGAGCATCCATAACCGGGTGCGGTCCCAGCGGGAGGCGGCGGCGCTGCATGGTTTATGATGCTTGACTGCCTTGACCGTCAAGCTGTGTGACGAGCTCTGGTGGTAATTCCTGGAGTTCCCCGCTCTCCATCCGAGTGGGGAGGGGGAGGACCAGAGAAGGGGAGGTTTCCAGCCGTCTCGGGGCTAGGAGCCTCGGGGGGCCCTAGGGATGTGATATCGGACGCTCCTTTGTCCATCTGTGGCGTTCTTGAGGCTGACATGTCAAGCATGTCGGAATTCCGCTGAAGGCTGCACATGTGCTGGACGGTGCTGGGCCTTCCCGAGCTTCACGTGCGGCCGTAGAAATTCCCGAGGCAGCTCCAAGCTGCCCATCCGAGGAGAGCCGTGGGAGCGGTGTGGGGGAGAAACAGAGCGCACGGCACGCTCGGGAGTGCAGGGGAGGAGGAGGAGGAGGAGGAGGAGGAGGAGGAGGAGGAGGAGGAGGAGGAGGAGGCTCCGCCACCCCAGGGCGCCAGCCGCAGGAGGAACAACGAGCCTCCGCGACTGCACTTTACAGCAGCCCCCGGGGACGCAAGAGAGGAACGCGAGCCTCTGCGCCCCCTGGGCGGCAGCCGCAGGAGGAACACGAGCCTCCGCGACTGCACAGGCAAGTAAGCGTGCCGCAGGAGGAGCACGAGCCTCCGCAGCACTCAAAACTGTGCCGTTCCGGGACCCTCGGTGTCGAGCGCAGGTTCTTCGAGCGGATTTTTTGAGACACGGCGGGGGCGGTGTTGGCAAGCGCCTGTCTCTCGTGTGACGCTGAGGGGCTTCCTACGAGATGGACCAGAGGGTGGGCCAAGGCATCTCAGATGAGGAGCCGTCGGGTGTGTGTGTGTGTGTGCATTCTGGGCTGCTCGGTTGGATCAGATCTTCCCCGCCACTAATTGTGGTGTCCTCATCTTGGCGAGCTGGCGATTCGAAGCGCTGCCAATCTCTTATGATGTTCTGCATCGCCTGTCTCTCAGTTCAACCGGGCAAAGAGAACACACTTCTCAATGATAGGTGTAGGTATGCACGCCAGATTGAGGACTCGCTTCGCTTCGCTTCAATCTTAGTAATTTGTCCCTGCGGGATGCTGGGCGCCCTCGCAATGTCGAATAGCATGAGGAATGAACGAAACATGTAATACGAGCGATTGCGGCGTGTGTCCTGGAAGAGAAAAAGCCACCACTTGCAAGCCTTCCGTATCAAACCGTATGTGGTGTCTCGGCGTGATAACCGGGGACATATTTTCACACGTCACCGAGGCTTTGCCAGTCTGCCGAGATGGGGTCGACCAGGGTTTCCTGAGATTTTCGGGCGTTGTCTGAAATGACTGAGTTTTTGGAATATCCAGCCAAAAGTCATTTTATGAAGGGTTCTTGAATACATGTCCTGCGTTTTGAGTAGCTGTTCTTGTGTGCCAGGGTCAGGTCGTGGTCGCCGTGCGCGTCCCGTCGCAATCGCGATGGGGCTCCTGTTGTTGTCGCCCAGGGGCTTGTTGGGTCCGCTCTGCTGCCAAATCCGTTTCGTTCAGCGACGGGGTCACGAGCTGGAGTGGTTTTGGGATTGTCGGAGTGCCATCCTGGGCTATCTTGATGCTCTCTGAAGGGATGTCTTAGGGCTTTTCAGGGCCGTCTGCGGGCTTTTCTGGCGCGTCTTTGAACGATCATAGGGGGCATGCTGCGCGGTCTGGGGCGCTTGAAAGGCTGAAGGAGCGTGTGTTCGAAACTACAGTCAACGCGCATAGTGAGGATAAGCGACCTTCCCAAGTATACCCTTGTATCCTTCCCCTTCGGCCCATTCTTGGCCACGTTCGCTGGCCGCCGCTTGAAGAGTGCCGGCATGGCCTTCGAAGGCCCTTTGCATCCCTATCGTCCATCCTTATGATACGGGTTGACTGTATGTCAATTCACATTGCGCTGCAGTGATTGGTATGGTATGCTTGCGTCGCATCTTGGGTGTCCTCTTTTAGTCGCCTCTGGGGATCTCCTGAGTTCGGGAGCTCTCGGGTTGCTCTCGGGGGCGTCTTGGGCCCAACTTAGGCCAGCTTGGGGCTCTCTTGGGGCGGTGTTTGGTTGGGCCTTGTGCCGCGGTTTTGGAGGATGGGGAGGAGGTCAGAGGAGGAGAAGGTACACACCACTGCCCTTGCATCGTTTTCCCATTTTTGGGCCTCCCAGGAGGCCCTCGTCGCCACCGCTGGATTCGCCTCGAAGTCCTGGTCAGAACGCGGGAGAGGTCGGGGGGTAGCGGTATCGGTATTTTGCTGTCTCCC